TAAACGTTATCGTAACACGGATATTGTCTTGCGCATTGCCAAAATGCTGTTATCTTGTCTCGCGAAGGAAGAAGTTAAAAGTATTCGACGAAACTCGTAAGAATTCTAAGAAACGGAATCCGCGATATTGCATCATATTACTCGCAATAATTTTTATTTTTTGTAACTATTTCGCAAGAAGACTTTATAAATTTGTCATTATTCTCGTACCATTAGTCGTATATTACTTTAAATAAGATAAATACGTGTAACCAATTACACAAAATGGCGGGATGGATAGTGTTATTAACGGGTTAAAAGGAAAGTCGTGTCGTACAATTTTCCCGGACTTGCAAAATTTACTCATTTAACGAATTAGTTAATGAAGTAATTTCTTGTTTCGCGAAAAGTCCAATCATGACAAATGTTGTATAATTCTGCGACAGGATGTTTGTCAAACTCGTGTGAACGCACGTGTCATTTATCGCAAGTAATCGTGTACTCATTCCAGTTGCACGCGGCATGAAACATAAACGCGAGATGCGTTTTATCTAAATCAATTCGATCGAATACTCGTCGTAAACCACGCCACATGTAACATGAAACCATACGTAACGATAGGATTGACGGAACTGTTCGTACAACGCGTAGAATATTTACAAATGTACATCGGAGGCTTAAAGCTATGTCGTACGGCATTCAAAAAGTCCATCGAGTAAAAAGCTTTGATTGTAGACGTTATTGCAACAGCACAGGATGCGCACATCGAACTCAACGATATCGCGATTAATGATTTACTCGCAATACTCCGGATGGTGGATAAACTTGCATCTAGATTAATTTAAACGTGTATCACTGTATAAACTTTAATTATATCTAATAATTTAAAAAGATGTTAGATATAAATAAAAAATTATTTAAAGAAAAACGACTACTAGATAAAAAGATTACGTATCAGTTTATTTAGTTAGTTTTTAGAACATTCAAATAAAATCATCAAATCGATTATTCTTCCTAAAAAGTAAAAATTTATTATCTACAGAGACTGTTTTATTTCAGTTATAAATTTGTCAATTACTTAAATCTTAATATTTCAAATATTTCAAATAAGAATATTACAAAAGGGACAAAATTCGCTTTTAGCATGACAGATTTCAAGATTTTGCGATTGACAGCGCCAATTTTATTTTATTCAAAGCGGCAGTAATCGAGAGCTTACATCGACATTGCTAGATAAGTAAAGCATCATTAGATTTCTTATTAAGAAACTTGTTTTCGATGTGATATAATCGAAAGCATGTTTGACGCAAAGTTTCCGGATAAAGGGAAATGGTAGTTTTCGTCATTCGTGCAATAAACACAGTCACATTCGAATGATTGATTTTGCATCTGGCATCGTTGCGCTACCGCATCTCTTGATGATCTAATATATCTCCGACAATTTAATATTAATTGCGAAATACCGCTATTAAATTATACTCTCTCTATACATGAGCTTATAATTATTAGAAACTTCTAATTGTATAACATTTAACATTATTGTTCATTTTCTTGTTATATAAATAAAGCATTTTCAAACAATTATCTAAATGTTTCACTCTGTTATACATTCTCCGGATAAAAAAAGCACTAATCGCTTGACTTATTTTTAAAACCCGAGACAATTTCCGCATTTTCGACGTGATATGAGATTGTCACATTATGTCGATCAAATATTGATTGAAACATGAACTTCGTAATTTCGAAGAAAGTCGTGAAACTCTGGCTTAATCAAATAGAATACAGGTCGTATTCTGCGATTTTGCGCGCTTCCGTAATAAGGTTCGGATATGTTCGTTTCTTCTCCCAAATTAAAACTGACGAGTTCAATTTCTAATGCAATTAGGAACAAGGAAGTATATTTTATGCTAAATTTGAACAATTTTTATTCAAATTACATTACAAATAAGTAGAGAGATATTATCTTAGGAGATTGAGAAATTGGTTTCAACCTTTGTTCCATGATTTATTCTACTCGTGGATTTTAAAGACAAATAAAAAAAATGAAAATACTTACCAGACTAACTCTGTTACATCAAGATGACGTAACATTCCATAAAATTTAACGCTGCTAAATTATTAAAATTTAAGCATTAATACATATTTATTGACTGCGACAGCAATATTGAACATCTCTGAAATATGAAATATTCACACATATTATCGTCAAGAAACGCGATAACGTCTCATGCCAAGTATAAAGAATAAGTACTAAATGTGTATCTTTCTCACAACATGTGTGATTGTAACAGAGACTAGATTTTTAAATAATATTAAGCAAGAAAAATAAATTAAATACTTTAAAGAACACTTTCACTCTGTTCCATAACAGTCACAGTCCTTAGCGAAGCACAGTTGGCTTTGATGAGAGCGTGAGTGTTGAACCGCACTGTCTCGTAACTCGATGGAAAAGTCTTGAATATACATAGCCGCAGTGACCATTTCACAAGAAGAAGAAAAAGATAAATAACATTGTTTAGAGCCAATTAGCTCTATTACGCTTGATTAATTCGCAGGCGGCTATCGCGCCGCATAATTGTAATTGATATGTTTGGAAATTCGGTCACGGTGAACTTCACGCTTGACCACAAACAGAGAACGTGAAAGATCGCCGAAACTTAGGACACGTACATGCATAATGTCACGAGAAAGCTCAACACAACTCTCGAGTTAATCTATGAACAATAATCTCTCGTCAGAACTAATACAAAATTCGATAACAAATTCCTCATTAAACGTCTCTCTTATATTTTACATTTTTCCCGCTAGATTTATCTCTTTTTCTTTTTAGTCTTTATCTTTTTAGTTCTTTGTAAGGTATATTTTTTTCACCCGTATTCTTTAAGAGGAATCAATACTCCGCGATGATTTGCGCATCATACGTCACAGGCCCGTAAATCCCGATGTTGCGCTTTTGCGCTCGATCGTGAAACCGAGATTGTATTTTCGATCTTCGTGTACGCCGTCGTCATTGTTTCAAGTCCACCTGATTATTCATACAATTCGTAGCTGGTGGCATTAGTATTGGAATATCGTGACAAATCCTACATATCAAAACGCGCTGGAGCGATTGGGACAAGTTCCGGAATTTCGCCGTTCGATCGAGCACGTACGCGAGTCAAATGTGTGTGCGCCACGGCAAAATCGTAAAATAATGTATATCAGGAGTTCTCAATCCTTGCACGTTCACGCCTCGTTTACTATTTATACAACCACTGCATAGTTTGCATTTGAATGATACAACTCTTCACAATTTCTCAGAGACGTTTAACTGCCGCAGAATACACGAAAGATATTTATATAACACATAAGTTTTATTTAATTTAATTAATAATGAATTAAAATAAAAACAAACATAATATAAAAATGAGTACTTTATATGTTAAATGTATATATGTTTATATGTAATGTATAAAACTTGCCTGCTTCCATAAATTATATCCATATAATTCTGCATATATGTTGTAAAATATACGTTTATCTATGTAATTTGATTTTAAGAAATTTGTGCATTTATTGTTTGATTATGATTCAACTGTCCATTTTTACAAAGCATGAGATTGTTGTATTGTTAATAATCATTCTTATTAATAACCATTCAGTGATTTTAAGAAAATAAAAGTATATAGATTAAATAAATTGTTATTTTTATTGTTATTTTTTTATAAGAAAAGAAGCGTTAAATTGAGAAACCCTGAGATATTCATACATGAAAATATCGAGCGACTAAGCGTTTTGAATTTTTCTAAAAACTCTTTTAATAAAAATTTATATTTATACACCAAGCACATGTTTTCGCAAAAATAATGATCCCAAAAGCTTCACTCAATCATTTTTCTCTTCACGTTCACAGAAAAATAGCTCATTTCTCGATGTACGGGTTTTAATAAGTATTTTGCTATTGTAACTCAGAAATAATTATATTTTCACATTTGATAGTATGAGTAATTCATTAAAGAGCGTTCAAACTAACATTTCCAAGGTACACTATTCCCAATAATTTCTCTTCCTCCATGTTGTCCTAAAGCTTCTGCCTCGTACATGGTGTCACCCTGTATCGTGGAAGGAACGACGTAAATTCTTTTATGTAGTGTATATTTAATACATCTTTTTCTTCCTCTTCTTCTCTTACATTTCCTCTCTCTTTTTCTAATTCTCTATATTTTCCGACGTATAAATACGTACAGTTACACTGCAACACGCGAGTAGCATGTTCCTATGTATCGTCGTACAAACGGCGGTTCCTTTTGCTTTGAGCAAAAAAATATTGCTATACCTTACACCCTACGTTAATACTGTCATGGCGTACTTAATCATCCAGACGGAGACGTAGTATAGTGTGTAATATATGTTCGCATAATAAATACACCTCTAACAGCTTTAACCCTTCGTGCTCTCTCTCCCTTTTCGGATCTCATTATTATTACCTGCGAACTTAAAATTATCTTCCAGGGGTATAACCTCCCTTACGAACACGCGATTATTACACTTTAACACAGATCTAGCCTGTCTCTAACGAGTCCCTCGGGCGCCGTAAACGTTTGTCGCGTGTGATTTGTACAGATTATCTAAATTTCCTGCTAATTCGCGCGATACCGCGCGATTGATCGACGCGATGTTGGCTTTTGCTTCGCAAAGCCTTACTTAGCAATTACTTGAGCTACTCGTGCGAGAATTCAACTCTGCAGTTCGTGCACGTGTATTCTAGCGCACCTATGTGTCCTCCACAACGCGTCACGTCACAATAGTTCGATATCACAGTGCACGCATTTTCACGCACGTGGACGCGATGAATTGTTGCTGCATTCAATAACAACGAGTTTGCCAGCATACAATTTTCACCATCTGATCGCGTGTCAATTTTAATCAGAAGCGAAGAGATCTTCTCCATACAAAAATAATATCTTCTTCGTAGTAGAGAGAAAAATATAAAATATGTGAAAGAAATTTAATTAAATAAAATATTATTTTCAATTTCCATTATCTTAATAATTTTTTGCAAAGAAATTATTTTCACGAAACGCATAGCTTAAACATGACCGATTATTGAAAATAATGTTTTTGTCTTTTCTTTCTACGTATATCACTTAAATTTTAGAAAATGAGGAATGTTTTGTGAAATTCGGATTTCTCTCTTTGCTTGGGAAACGATTGACACGCAATGATTGACAGAACGCGAAAACCGATAGGCAAATGCAGCTGCTGCGGTTCCAAATACAAGAACAACAGTACCTGTTGCGAGCTTGCCGAGAGTCTACGAAATCTCGTTGTTACATCACAAATACGATGATTCACACCGAGTTACGTTTGTTGTCCCGTTATCTCTTCTTCAGAGGAAGGGGTGAATCGCTCGCTTATATGCTGATCAGCTTGCGGAAGGCCTTACGGAATTCGGGGTTGAACACAGTGTATATTACGGGATTCACGAAACTGTTCATGTAGCCCAACCAGGAAGTGACGATGAAGGCCGTAACGCCAGGCTGACAAGCCTTCGTCAGCTTCGTGCAGATTGCATCCATGATGTTGCAAGTAAAGAAGGGCACCCAGCATATTAGAAAGACACCTGTGACATTTATTACGTGAAGATAAATGTATTAGCGAGGTAAAGGATATATAATTGATAAACTATATTTTTTTATAATATAACAAAATTTAATTATTATTATTAATTTCTGATATATTTATCGTTTTTGATAATCATTTGTTTGTTAAAAACGTTATTATGTTATTATATATATAATTAATTTATTAATGTTAATATAATGTTAATTATGATTATATCTTTCAATAAATGTTTATTATTATGTTCTTATTCTTTGATAATAAATCTTATGTAATAAAAAGAATCCAGTAAATCATGCTCAGTATCTATCAAACTCGAATATATAAATGTTTTATACATTTTATGTTAATGCTTCATATTCAATAAAAATATTTTATGTATTCGTAACTTATTAATATATAAATAAAAATATTTGAAAAAGCTATTATATTCTCTTTAATTGTTTATACAGAAGTAAAGTTTTAACGTTTTAAAAAATAATGCAATTTGATTTTTTATTCTTATTACTTATTTATAATCCATAATGCAATATTTATGGTTAAAAATTATAAAATATTTGTGTCCTAAATTAATATAATTATTTCCTATAAAGTAAATATCTTATGCTATTAACACTTTGTTCAATTTGCAAAATATATTTTGTTAGCGGTTTTAACACACCAAGGACTTCGGAAAATTTTCATCATCTGTTATTAAACTTATCCTTTGATGTTTTATATATCAGAAATATTTGTTGCAAAGTACAAACTATCTTTCTAATCCTCTCTTTCATTCAACCTCACAATAGACTTTATTCAAAACAGGTTTGACAAGCTTTAAAGCTTCTTAATGCCGAGATTTTCGTACCGGCAAAGAGAATTTATAAAGTCTTCTTCTCTGTAGTAATACGCGATATTCTTCACGAATACTTCTTCCTATCGATTTTAACGTTTCAATATTCAAGTAAATTCACATTCCGAGAGATAAAAATAGCAATACGTATCGACATTTATCGCTGCTTATTTATTACTTGCAAGAAATAGTTACAGAGAGAAATAGCTCGGTTCGATCGCAATCATCATGCAGGACATGTAACTAATCTCCTAATCTTTCGGTGGTCTTCTTAAACCACTCGTCTATTCGCTCTACGACCATGTTCAGACTTTCACGTATATACACACATATATATATATATATATATATATATATATATATATATACTACATCTTTAATATCGCGCTGCATTTCCTCGTTCCCACGTTTTAACTCGCGAGCTCATCAATAACAGATGCGAAAGCAAGCTACCGAGCTATCAAGCTGCTTATCAATTCGGTGGCACGCGAGTAACCTACCTAATACGATCGCCAGAGTCTTCGTGGCCTTGCGCTCCTTCTTAGCCGAGCTTTTCTCCCTTTTCTTCTTGCTCGCCTTGTTGGCCTTGTATATCGTGAACCTTGACCCGGACGACGCGTTCTTTCGGTCCTTCTTGCAGGAAGACGACAGCACGCTGGGTGTTCTCGCGAGCTGCAGCGGCAAGAGCGAACCGGCGCTCTTCAGCCGCTTCAGCTCCTGTTTGTTCGTGCCGCCGTTGTTACCGTTCCTCTTTGCCGTCTGCGACATCGAGGACACGCTGGTCGGGATCCGCGCCGGCGGAGGCGACGACGAGGTCGACGAGGACGGTGGGCCCGACGTGATCCGCGGATTCGGGCTGGGACTTGAATTCGTTTCGAGTGGTTCGTGTATCATCGTACTGCTCGCCGCGCCATCGTAACCGCTGGAATCATTCCGCTGCACGTGGGGTGTCCCGGTCAGCTGGGCCTGCGCCACCGCGCTGAAACGACAACTGCCATTCGAGTGTCAGAAAAACCTGGCATTCACCACGCTTCAATTAACATTAAAGTTTACAGACGGCTTCTTATGCATTACAGTTCAATATTTGCCTTAGGAGACAGTACTCGTTGTATAAAATATGCATGCAAATGACAAGAAGAGTTTTACATCTCTCAGAGGTGAGAATACGGAAAGATAAAAAAAAAATGTCCTGAACAAATACACAGCAAGATCCAATTTATTGTATTTCCTATTATAAGACCGTCTTTATTATCTTCTTACGTAATTTATCGTTTAATATAAATTGTCGTATCTTGTTTTTCATTAAAAATTTACTTAATGCTATATTTTTTTATCTTTTTACATAATTCTTTAGAATTGTTATTAAAAGCAAGAATACCATTATTAAAATTTCTTTTTTATTTTGACAAATTGTATCCTATTCAAAGGTCTATCGTAATTAATTCATCATAATTCATTCAATATAATCTCACGCATGCCAAAATACATAATAATATTACTCGAGTGCTGAAAATATTAATTAATAACCATGAAGTACTCATATATGCGGAGTTGATTGGCTCATTTTCAACATAAGTGGCTAGATGCAAATTGCTCGCGGACAAAGAGGCCGTCCCATCGCGATTAGCTCGCGAACTTCCGGTTCCGATTACTATCGGAACGACGAGTTCCCGTTAAATGAGTAGTGTGCGCGTGCTTTGAATGGAGTTTTGGAAATAGAGAAAGAGATTAGAAGTGAACACGCGAATTCTCACACAATTCCGAGTGACTTTCACGATTATCGAAAGAGTGAAAAAAATAATTACGAGATCACCGGCTTTTCGCCGCTCGGCCTACCGTACTCTCCTCATCATCGCAAATTTTTTTGTTTTGCTTCATCGTTCAACGCGCATGAACTTTCGAATATCCAACTTGTCAGCCATCTGGAATATCGACGTGACTTCCTGTCCGAGTTTTCCGATCAAGCGGAGTTCCGACGTAGTCCTGAATTGTCTTCGCCTTTTTATCCGTCCAAGACAAATCACCGAAAGGTGCTTTTAAAAAATGAGAAAGTCGACATAAATGCTCTATTTAAAGAACAAAAAAAACATAACTTGAAAAATTTATTAGCCACGATGTTTAAAAAAGTGTTTTGCTTCTTTGTAAAAATGACACTCTTTTTTAAGCAAAAAATTCAAAGTTTTTTTACATACATATATTTATATATTAAACTAAAACTAATTTTTATGACTTCATAAAGTAATATGTATATACATTATACTGCAGGTACTGTTATATATTATTATATCTAAAAAACAAAAACAGCCATCGCTTGCTTAAAAAGTATTCGTAACTTTTCTTATGTAATCTGAACAGAATTCGGACGGAAGGGATACAAACCCGCAAATTTTACGACACGCGAGACAGAAGTAATATCCTCTTAATTAAAGACTTTCAATTGGCCAATTAAACCGCAGATTGAAACTTCTGATTGACTCAAAGTCTCTTCGTGTCTCTTGAAACTTTCCAGAAAAGGCAGGAAAATAATTATTGCTCAGTGAGATCTACGTGCTCACGTCATTGTATTCATCTGCTTTATTTAACATATTACTTTTTCTCTTTCGTGTCGTTCGCCGATCTAACTAAAATTTCGCCAATCTCATTTGCCTTATAGCCATTATATGTCAAGTAGAAAATAATAGTACGGCACCCGAAAAGTTCATGGAGTCGTTCGATGGAATTCTTTTAGAAATATAAGTCAAATTACCTAGTGAAGGAAATTTAATTCGACATCAATAAGCTCTTTGAACCTCCTTTTAATTTCGTGTTTCGTGCTTTTCTCAAATTGCAAGAAGAATGAGACAGAGGGAAAAGCTGTTCCGTGTGATAACGATACAAAGACTTTCAGATCAAATCATTTTGAACGGTGCGTAATGAAAAGAATTGTTACATTTCTTTATTTTTTTCTACTATACGGATGAAATATCGTCTATAATCATCTCTCTTGCCTCTCAGGCATCCACAGCTTTTTAACCATTCGTTTCATTTCTTGGAGCTTAGCGAAAGCAGATAAAAAGAAAAATTGTATCTTGGTTATACAGCACCCTTCGTTATGTATATAAGTCGTTTTATAAATTATCCATCATTTTCCATATACATAAAGTGAACTTAATTTTATAATTTATTTAGTATACTTTAAAAAGAAATGCCCATTATATTTTTATTACTTTTGTTATCTTATTTTTATTGGATATAAAAACGCCGTTATTTTAATGTAATATTTCTTTTAATGACGCTATAAAGAATAAAAAAAAAGATTACATATTATGTTAAAATAATTTTGTAGGAAAATTGAATATATTTATTCAATTATACGCTATTGATTTTAATAATTTCCGCAATAATTGGGATGAATAGTTGGTATCAAATGTAAAGTTTGATGATAATTAAATGTAAAGCAGAATATAATTTACCGCGATATTTATCATTCTCGAAATACCTTGCAAATCCTCTTTGATCACTCAATTTCATATTGTATCTGTCATCTCAAGTACACATTTCAAACTGAACGACATTAACAATCTTGAGAGACGGTAACCGTCTCAGAGATGACGCATCCGTACGACTTTTTGCGTTGACGGTCGATTTGACGAGTCGCGTCGCGCAACGTCATGACAATGCGATCAGATATCGTTGAAAGAAAATTCCGACATCTTCCTTCCGTTCGGGGCGCGCGGGGAAGGGAAAGAGGAATGAATGATAAGAAGATATGATGAAATTCTTACGCTGCTTCCTCGACGACCGTGGCTAAAAAGAATTCCGTGCTCTTGTCATTGGAGATGACGACGACGGGATCGAGGGGCGTCTCATCCTCGTCCTCGTTGCTGCCGGAAGCAGTGTTCGTCGGTTCCTCGATTCCAGGTGCCACCAGGGCGGCTGCCCCCAGCGCCGTTTCCGCAAACCTTGCCACAGAATACCCACTACGTGATCTTAGTCAAAAGCCTCTAGAAAAGCCTCTACACCTATCATGCACTTCCTTGCTTATCCAGCATCCCTCAGCGTTAATCCGGTAAGTAGCGTATCTATCATGCATAAAGCGACGACACGCTTTTTGACAGCACCTGCAAGATCCTGAGTGACAGAGCGTCGCTGTTTCCTTTTTACGGCGGAGGTCTCAAACAAATTTTTAATTTGTTACGTCAACCAAGACGAGACATCACGATAAATCACAATCTTTTTGTAATTTTAGGTATAATAAATATATTTAGTTTATCTGTAGTTTAATACTTTTATTCTTACTGTTTGCAAGAAAAATTATGTTTATAACAATGTAGTAAAAAGAAACTCAACATATTTAATTATAAATATCTAAAAATTAATGAAAAGAAAATCAAAGAAGAAGGGAAAAAGACGAAGAATTAATGATTTTAATTGAATGCGCACTAATACAAATTAAAATCCGTTGCATTTTATCTAACTACAACTGCATTGCGTCTTGATCAATTAAGTATCCAATATGTTTTGTAATGTAATGTAACAATAATTTGTATTGCGTATTGGATTTGTATTTAGTATAAATTAAAGCTAATATTAAGTATAAATCATTACATTAATTTATGTACAACAAGTCTTAATATGTTAATAAATTATCCGGATTTGCTATAAAATTTTTAATATCCTTTATAATTATATAATTCATTTTTCTAAAAAGTTGAATATTTTCTATAAATAGTATCGTCAAAGTTTTAGCTGCTTGGATAATGCAGAACTGCGTTAATGTTTAATTTTCTTGAACTCGTGCAAAACTCATTTTGCATTGCAAAATAATTCATATATTTGGCAAAAGAGACTGCGATTTGAACTGCTATAAGCTTTATTAATACTTCTATTCGTAAATTGAGAATTTCCTTGTTAGATATTGCATTATTAAATTTCAAAGCGATAGTATCCGTGATATACTTCGACAATGTAACATCAGGAGATACGTTCAAAAATCGCGTGCTTAAAGCATGACACAGCATTTCCATACGTTGCACATTTCTGTATACGATAAAACATATATCTAAGCATGAATAAATTTTCCACGATGGCGGAAGATTCTTGAAATGAGAAAATTAATTTTCTTTGACTAAAAATATAAATACATTTGAAGAAATTTTAATCAAAAGTCTCCAATTGTGTTTATTTTTAAATTTGGAATATATCTTCTTATTAAAATAACAAAAAGTTACAAACTTTCCGAGATATATATCTATATTAAAAAGCATCTACACCTGTTAATTTTTACAATAGTAACAATAAATATATTGAAAGAAAAATATATTATATGAATAAGTGTAAAAAAGAAATTAACAAACAATTTCTCTGCTGTGTAACTATTTTATTAAGAAAAATTTTTAATGTATTTAATTTAATTAAAATTAAATTAAATTAAATTAAATTAATTAAAACTGTCTTGGATTGTATTAGAAAGAGGAGAAATATACATGAAAGAAAACATATTCTGATGTAACTTTACAATCATAATTCAAAATAATATTTTTTTATTCATTCTTATCTTATTTTATCTTATTTTAATCTTAACACAAATAATTTTGGTTTTACATGCGTCATCATATGGAATAATTATTAATTATATTGATCAAGGCTAAACATAGCCTCAGGATGGGATACACGTGCTGTGGCAGCAGAATTCGTGCATTAGATTGCCAATATAAATATCAAAATTTTGGTGCTTTTGACCGAGCCTCGCTCCGCGCGATAACAAAGTCGATAAAGGGACAACGTGGCCAGCGTGGGTGCATATGGGCGGATTAACCGAAACGCCAGATTATGTCGGATACATCGCATCCCAGAGAGATATCAAAATGCGGATGAAGTTACCAAATTGCGACTGCGACTGTAAACACCTAAGTTTAATTTATTGTTCGTCACTTGAACATCATGCGGCATTGTGAAATGCGCGATTAAAGTTGAATCAAGAGGAATTATCAATTTTCCAAGATGCACTTTCTTTAATCTCTTAATTGACTGTATATAAAGAGGACATATTATTCTAAACTAATTATAAGAATGAGATAAAATTTAAAAATTTTTATGTCAAAGAATGTTTTAAGAATTAGAAAATTTTAAAATCATCCAATTCTTATAAAAGAATTAATTGACCAGCACATAATCAGATATATTCTTCGGATATTACAATTAAAGCTATTACAAATTTATGGCTGTATATTTTAAATATCATATTATTATTAAATTAAATTGTTTTGTACCGATGTTATTTATTGCGTGTTGTTCAATAATTAAATATTTTCTTCTATCTTATAGAAAATTGTTTTATACAGAAAAAGATTAATTAAACCTATTAAAATTAATTATTAAACTGATTAGCATTACATTACTTTTTTATAGTACAGCCCTATAATGTGGTACAAGAAAAGATAAGAATTCGTGATATAATGCTGCTTCTACTTTTTCAACTTAAACGACATCTTTCATGCAGCGGCCAGCCTTGCTTTTCGACTATTCTTCCCTAGTACGTGCCATTTTCGCGTTCAGGCGCTTAAATACTTAAATTTTCTGCACTCTTCGCTGGAAGGAAAGTAAATAGGAGTTTGTTGAGAAGTTCCGTTTACCTTCGTGGTACTCTCGTTGGGTGGTCTAAAGTATTTAACGAAGCGCCTTAATATTTTTCGAAAATCTTCTTAGGTAACTAGGGATGTCGAGTATTTACAAACGTATACACTTGCTAAGCATGGTTCTGTATAGATTATTCCAAAAATACCGCGACTCGCGTCTTTCGGATCGAATTCAACGACTATCTACTTTGGCCAATTTGTAATTGAATAAAACTTTGATTGGATGCTACCATCGCTCGCAACTTTTTAATTTTCAGTATTATATCAGTATATCTTTCTAACTCTAGATCGAAAATTAAAGTGGAAACCAATTTCAGTTAATCGAAATATAAGAGGTTGTCATCCATCGCTAGAATTTAATTCGAGAAAAGTTTTTTTAATTTAACGCTAATGCAGTTATTATTCTTTTCAATTAATAATATAACGTCTGAGGTGTAAAAAGATGATTGTACTTTTTGGACATCCTATATTTAATTAAAATTTGTACACATTTTGAATCGTATATACATGATAGTAACAGATAGATATGATAAAATTGAATATTTTGCATTTCCCTTTAAAGCCATCATCGCGATACTTTGCGAGATAAATAATCCTTATATTGAACTTGCGAGCTACGGGTAACATTATATACGATTCCAATGCATCGAGGGCAGATGATATTGCACATACATAAACACGAATACTATTATCTCGGTTTATGACATTACGCATGATAGCAGCGCGAATTTTATGCAGTTGCGGATATTCACTTTGCATGATGACAATAAAATATCGCAAAATGTTTATCGCCATATTTCAAATTCTATACTTGGGATACAGCCGAGTTATTTTTGTCTCTCTCAAAACAAAATAACAGTCATTGTTACCAGTGCAATTTCTCTTCAAAACAAAACAAATTATAATATTCCAAAATAGAAAATTTGTTCCTTCAAATACATTTTTATGCATATTAACAAAACAATCTGTGATGCGCCATCATCTTTCTATTATGAACGTTTAAACGTCAATAAAGAATATTCTTCCCGATAATATTCAATTTGCATGAACTTTAAACGTGAAAAGACGAACAAGAAAGACGTAATGTGCCCGGCATGTCTGGGAAGGTACGCAAGCAAAAAGGTCGGCGATTAAGCGACGTACAAGTAGTTGGCTATTCAAGACGAGGCTGCCCTCGTCAGCACAGCGGAAATGAAAGCACGTGCGGAGGCGTGCGAGAAAAGCGAATTATCCAGGGATGCTCGGGACTTAACCCTCGGTCGTCCCGTCTCTCAACTCGCGCCACACCAGCCGGCGCCAATCTCCGCGAGAAATTGTCTCGTTGGAATGCGAGCCTTACGCGGTCGCGAAAATTGAAAAGAATCGTCGCGCATCGTATGCGCGACGTGCTCCAAATGTTGGCGGACTGTTCTCGCGCTTATCACGCCGGCAAACGGGCCAGATAACGTCGTAGGACGACCGCATGAATAAATTTTCACTTGCGATATTTTCTCGCGGGACAATTTATCTGAGCGGACATGCGAATCATACAGATCAATCCTAATTAGATCTGTCACTTCGATCGCAGCTTTCTTGCCCGATTTAGAGACAATTTATTCTCGGTAAAAGTGTAAAAGAAAGATTAATTATTCGAATGATTTGATACATTTTAATCTAATTCTTTAATCACATCTTTTTGTAACAAAGTTTTTTTAAAAATTGATTAATTGTAAGATCAAAATATTTTTTTGTTTTCTATAAGTATAATATATGTGATTGTTTAAAAATTATAAACATTTTGAAATTTTCATTATAAGAAAATTTAAATTCATTAAATAAAAAATCTGTAAGAATAAAATATACTTCATTAAGTTGCAAATAAATTTATATAAAAGCAGTACTTTTAAGTAAATATGTTTATATAATATATGCATGTGTATCGTATTATTTATATATAACATTATGTATTACATTAAAAGCAGTATATCTTTCAAGTAACATATATAAATGACAATTATTTATATATCAAAATAAAAAACAGATATCGCTGTCTAACAGCTGGTTTTAAAGAATGAGTCTGCAACTCATTTAAAAATTTAAGAACCAGGGAAAAAGTATCGAGGGACATAAGAAAAGTTAAAAATTCAAGAATTTATAGACCAAGATTGGCTCGGGAATCGAGAATGCAATGGTTCAAGGATGTGTAAAAAAGGTACACGTGTACGTAAAAAATTTATCATTCGTATTATGCGTTATTTTTCCAAGCATTGCTTATACTTTGATATTATTGATTAGATAGCAAGACACAAGACAAACAACGCTAAATTAAAAAATAAAAAGGTCTTCTTCAATTTAATTTATCTTTATAAGATATGAACTCTTACTAAATCACAATTTAATTTCGAACTCTATTAAGACTCCATCCGCTTGTTGTTTCTTTTCACAAAATTACATGAAAGTTCACAAAATTACATGAAAGTCAGAATAAGGAAGCAGAGACGACAATATATATATGTAATATATGCATGCGTCACATGCAATACGTTAGTTTAGTGAAAGATGCAGCAAAGATAATACATTTTTTAATTACTCGTGATCAAAAAAAAATATTTCAAATTAAAACAACGAGAATTACTTTCCTCAAATGTTTGATGGCAAATGTAATTTTAAAATTATAAGAATATATTTATTTTCCAGATAAATAAAAAATATTTAATGATAAGAATATTTGCGTAAAGGAAAATTAAGTAAATTGTGAAAATCGTTCTTGCTATAACTTTCACAATGTAAAAAGGTGATAACTAAAGATTAAACAATTTATACAATTAAGTACTCACCTACGCGTATGTGCAATATTCTCGATGATACTTCCTGGTTTTATATCACCTAAATTCGGTTTTTTGCTAGCACGAGCTCTTCTCGCTCTGTTTCGCAAAGCCTGAAACGATCAATTGAAAATTTACATTGTAAAGTAAATCAGACAAAGGATTGCAAACGAGAGAGATAAACGTATAACATAAATCTTTTTTGCAGATAACATCCGAGACGTTATCGAGCATCTATCTACGAACAACTAGATTTATTTTGACAGTTTTACGAGAGAAAATCTTCGTTCAGTTATAGCATCATAATATTTTTGTTGAACAGCGACAAAAAAAGTTTCGTTTTTCTTGTAAGTTTAAAAGAGATTATATATTTCTTTATGTTTGTTCTTTGCGATACAATCTTGGAAATATTTCCACTTTTTTAGAAACAACTGAAGTTTTTTTTATAATACAGATAATTATGATGATAAAAAAGATATGATCCAACTTATGATATTTCCTTTTATTACAATGTTATTTTAAAATTATAAAATCTCTCAATAAATGAATAAATTATTACAACATAATAATATAGTAAATTAAACAACTAATTTGTATTTTACTTATATATTTTATAGTGTATTTTTACTTGTATTTGCATTTGCTTATGTGAGAAGTATATGGGAAAAACTATGTGGGAAGTATATGGGAAAAACTGTGTGGGAAGAATATGGGAAAAACTATGTGGGAAGAATATGGGAAAAACTATATGAAAAGTATATAGGAAAAACTATGTGGGAAGAATATGGGAAAAACTATGTGGAAAGTATATGGGAAAAACTATGTGGGAAGTATATAGGAAAAAACTATGTGGAAAGTATATGGGAAAAA